TGCCTCATCCCATGGCACAAATACGGTAATTAAGGTTTTAAAATTAGCATGTACTAATCCATCAAATTAAGAGCATACTTAGTTAAACTTTGTTTCAGATTTTTGATATTGTTTATATTTTATAAGTTTAAATTTTTTAAATAAAAATTTATATTTTTTATCTTTTTTTTTAACTTTAAAAAATCTTAAACAGTGAATTTTAAAATTTTCAAAATTTTATTTTATATAAGTTTTTTAAAATTATTTAATTAAATAAAAATACTATCCTTTCACTTTTTTTACTTTTATTTATTCAAACAAAATTAATGTCAATCATTTTTTTTCCTTTCATTTCTCTTTCTTTTCCTTTCTCTTTTTTTTTTTTTATTAATTTTTATCCAAACAAACATTAAGAGTTAGTGCACAGGAGGATTTGTTTATTAACTAGAAAATAAGTTAACTACAATTTTAATACTAAAACCGTGAGATTTTTAAGCCTCCATCAAAGAAAAATCATTCAGAGTAATCCATTACGCTTTGAGGAGGAGGCTTCTTTTCTCTCTCTCTCTCTCTTTTTGGTTACATCACTTTGAGGAGAAACTGATTTTCAAATTTAGTGGCACTAAATTATTCATTCCCCTTAATAAATATTACTATGACAAGATTGATGCATTAATTCACCTCAGTGGTGCGAATTCTCATCCAACTTATACCAGAAAAAGAAATCAAAGCATCCATTTTTAAAGCACCAACACATGGACCCACTGCCCACTACAAAATCCTTGAACTGAAAGCTGCAGATGCTAGGGAAGGTCTAGATCAATTGTGGCTTGGTTTGTGCATAATTACGATTGTGCCACCGAACAAACTAGGTCTCATGTATATCGAGGATGACCCCCACGTCTAGGCCGTTTCCCCATTAATGACTAAGATGTGTCAGATTATATAACACTTTTTTTGTATTAAAAAATTTTGATTCTGATTCTCGCACCAAAAGAAGGTGATGCTGTTTCTCATCAAGATCATCATGTAAATTAATATGAATTTGAAGTGGGTTATTGTATAATTCAATTTTCTACCAAAATCAAGTCAGGGAAAAACTGAGAGTATACCATCCGTTAGTACTCTTTTCCTTCTACCTTCTCCCTTTTTTAATTAGGTCTTTTTTTTTTTTGTTAGGAACTTATCGTGATTCATTTTTACCTTATTTTTTTTAATATTTTTGTTAAAAGTCTTATTTTTTAAAAAATATGAATTTCTCACACATTGTATTATTTTAAATAAAAATTTAAAAATTTTAACTTTAACACTACGTGAGAAATTAATTCAAAAAATCTATCAAAGAAAAATTGAGATTAAATTGAATTTTTGCGTTTAATTGAGAACAGTTTAAAATGCTTGTCCTATTGTGCAGGGACCAAGGTGAGCTACGGAAGGAAAAGGGGGGCTAAAGTGACAGGCGGTAGAAAGTTACGGACTAAAGTGCGAATATGGACCCTCAACGACGTCGTTGTATGGAGAAGGGAAATATAACTAAGGGTCGGGACGCTGTCGAGCCTTAACCCTCCTTTTCTTGAAAAATTTTCATACAGGACCTGCTTTCCTCCTCCCCGTCCATCCCCGTACCTCTTCCGATCGGATGGTCCCCAACTCCCCATGCCCTTTGGTCGTCCGAGCAGCACAAGGGACAAGAAACCCCAGCAAACCTCTGCAGTTCGTCCTTGCCTCTTTGCCACATGCAGAAAAGAGCAATTATCGAGAGAAAGCGGAGTCAATTTTGGCTTCATCCATTTGATGGCTGGGAGGAAAAGAAAGGAAATCGGAGGATTGAGATGAGCCCAAGGGTTTCTTTTGTTTGTGTACATTTTTATGGCAACTGATGGTATTAATTAGTTTTGTCTCTAAAAGGTAATGGTGGATCTGTTATGCTTTTCCCTTTTCCAGCACCCAACCAGATTGCCCTCAGGTAAACCTTATGTGGTGCCCAGCTTTTCTTAAGTGAATCCAGAGCAATTGTTCCCCCAGTTGTGAACAAATATTTACTTGAAGAAGCTAATCATGAATCTGTGCTGATTGATATGTTCCTGTTGGTTCCAGGACCAGGTGTGATGAGAACAGATGAAGACTTCAACGATGCATCAATCTCCTTCATCTACTAACCCCTGGTTGATTTCCAATTCCAGGAAAGTGACAGGTCCCAGGTAGGGCCGTCAATAAATCGAGTTGCGTAATTAAGTACTTACCCTCGACATCGCCCAAAAATTTGAGTTCGAGTGAAAGTGTATATTTGACCAGCTCTAGGTAGTTTGACTTTAAGCTCAAGTTTATAAGTATTCAAGTAAGTTAAAAGTTTATTTGCACATTTTAGTACTTCGATGAGCGAGTATTTTAATTTGAATTTGAGTAGTTCTTTTTTTTTTTTTTTTTAATAATTAATTATTTAATTATATATGTCTACATTGAAATATTAAAAAATTAAATAATAACATTATACTAAACTCTAACAATAAAAAATAATTTAAAATTTCATTTAAACATTCTTATTATTATTTGATCTAAAAGGTTCAAACTAAAACTCATTCAACAAATTATATGCCACCATTAAAAGAAAATATATATTTTTTCAAATCTTACAAGTTGATAGTTGAAAAATAAAAAATATAATAAAGTCAATCTCAAGTTTAAGTTTATAATAAGTTATTATATATATTTAAATTATATATTTAAATTTTCATATATAAATATGTAATATAATTTTTAATTTTAAACCGAATATTCATGAATATTGATCTAAACTCAAACTTATTTTTTTTTTATCGAACTTAATATTAAAGTCAAATTTAACTTATTTATTAAATGAATCAAGTTTAAATATAGTAACTCGTCAATAACCCGTGAGTACCCTACACACTAACAACTCTAGTCCTAGGTCCTCTTTACACTAAAAAAAATAAGAATTTGATTCAAATCAGGGGGAATTATTGTAATTGGGAAATCAAAATTTTAATTATTACATATTAAACATATACTAAATGCATATTTTTGTTATAAATTCATATTAAAAAATCAAATTTAACTTTTAATTTATTAATTATATAATTAAATTTATTTATTTGATAATAATA